TCTTAGTAGTGTTGAGAGATTTATCTTCTAACTCACTTGTTCTGGCTTCTATCTCTTCAATTCTACTCCTTTGCCCTTTCAATGTATTGTCCATTTCTGATATTCTATTATTAATTGTTTAGACCTCTTTCTCTAGGTTTTGAAATATTTTCAATGCTGTCTCTATCTTATTTGATTGTTCCTGTAACACTTTCTTGACTTCTTCCATATTTTTCTCAACTCCATTGTATATTGTTTTGATACATTTTATAATCATTTCTCTGAATTCCTTCTCAGGCATTTCCAAAGCCTGCACATCGTCCTATATGGAGTGTAGGTCTACTTCCAGCTCATTTGCGTGAGTCACTTTATCTCGTTTCTGGACATGTGCAGATATGGTTATCTGCTTCTGTTTTTTTGGCATCTTCAGGGGTTATCTGTGGACTTAATACTTAGATGGGTATGTATTTTGGTATTTTATATGCTTTCTGAATGCCTCCAGGTATATGTGATCAGGAAATGGGCTTCCCTTTTCACTCTTCTTCTTGAGATATTTCAAGATACCACTGTTGGTCATTTTGATGTAATTTAGGATTTAATTTCTGGCCTGTTTCCTCTTTTGTCTGCTTGTCCCATTCCACAATCCCCTTTAAGGCCTTTTTTTCTAGTTGTAAACAGTTCAGGGCTGGCTGTGGCCGTTTGTTTTTAACTGGAAACTGTCTCTTTAAATTTCAAAGAAATCTGTGTGCATGCGTAGTAGAACCCTCCGAGGGTGGGACTGGGGTGCCCACTCTCTCAGGCACCCCTATAGTCACCTGAATGGAGGTGCGCAGACAGCAAGGGACCAATGAACAGCTACCAAAAGAAAATAATGTCCACACCTTTATCTCAGCGGTTCAGCCAGGCGTCTGTGGCTGCTCCGATTCTTTCCCCGCTTGGTCTCACCCAAGATGGCGGCTCCTGGAGCAGCTGAGCGTCCCGGACTAGAAAGCAATGGATTTCTTGCTTCTGCCACAAATTCCCCTAGCTGTAAGCCTTCCAACCTTCTAAATATTCCTTTATATGTGGTTCAGAGTTCTGGGACCATCCCCTGAGCCTGCTTGTTCAGGTATTCTGTGTCGTTGTTGGCAGAGCTCTTTACTACACTTACACTCGATCCGCCATCTTGTTTGTTCTCCCATATGTTTAAATTTTTAAGTAACTGTCAATATGCTTTCCAGTGTGTGCCATTCTACAGCCCTACCAGCACCATATAGGACAGTAGTTTTTCCACATCCTCACTGCCATTTGGGGTTATCTCTATTTTATTTTTTAACCATTTTGACAGGTATATAGTGATTTCTCATGTGGCCTTAAGAGTCCTGGTGTGGCACTGTAGGATAAGCACTCGACCACAAGGTCGTTTGAACTGCATTGTCAGAGGTTCAAACTCACCAGCTGCTCCTTGGAAACCCTATACAGGGTCGCTGTGAATTGGAAATAACTCGAAAACACTTAGCAACAACAACAAATGACTGATGGAGACCTGGTGTGGCACTGTTAACCAGAAGTTGGTGGTTCAAACCTACCAGCCGCTCCTCAGAAACCTTACACTGAGTCATCATGAGTCAGAACCGAGTCAGTGACTCTCAACAATAACAACAACAACAGCTGATGAATGCAGGTGTGGTGCCACTGTTGGTTAGGCGTTGGACTATTAACCGCAAGATCAGCAGTTCAAATCCATCAGCTGCTCTGCTGGAGAAAAGCTGAGGCTGTTTGCTCCCATAGTGATTTACAGTCTTGGAAGCCCTATACAGGGTCATTTTGAGTCAGACTCAACTCAATAGCAGTGGGTTTGATTTGAATTAAAGTATCAGTTCTGAACTTCAGACCACACAGTCGGTGGTTCAAACCTGCCAGCTGCTCCTCAGAAACCCTGTACAAGGTCGCTAGAAGTCAGAACTGACTCGAGGACACTTAACAACATTTGCTATTTGTGTATTCTGTGGTGTAAAAGGTCTCTTCACTTGTCTGATTTCTAATTGAATTGTCTTTTGATTTTGTTTTGAGAGTTCTGTATTATTCTAGATACAAGTTCTTTGTCAGATATGTGGCTTGCAAAAAGATACTGCCCCCCCCCAGTCTGTAGCTTGTATTTTTATTTATTTTTAATAGACTTTGTTTTAAGAGCAATTTTAGATTTACAGAAAATTTGAGACAAAAAGTACAGAATTTCCATATACCCTGCACCCAGTTTTCTGTTATTAGCGTTTTGTGTTGCTATAATAAACTTGTTATGAGGGGGCTTCAATAAGTTTATTAAAAAATTCCATGATCTTTATTATTCTATTTTCCACAAATTCTTGGGAGCCACCTTATAGACTTTAAAAAAAAATTATTATTATTATTTCTTTTTCCCCTTTGTATAATTAATGAACTAATATTTATGCATTATTACTTTGAACAGCTTATAGTTTATTCAGAATTCCATAGTTGTCACTTGAGGTCCCTCCAGGACATTGTATTGCATTGAGTTGTCATGTCTTTCTAGGCTCCCTTTCCCACACTGTCCGTGGTTTTGATGACCTTGACAGTTTTGAGGAGTGCTGGTCAAGTACGCTGTGGGGTACTACCTTAGTTATCTAACGTGACTACCATAGGAATACCACAGTAGGGTCTTTGACAACAGAAATGTGTTCTCTCACAGTTTGAGAGGCTAAAAATCCACATTCAGAGCGCCGGCTCTAGGGGCAGCCTTGTTGTCAGCTCTGTAGGCCCTCCAGCATCCTTATGCCCAGCAGTTCTTGGAGATCTCTATGTGTCTTGGCATCAATCTTCCTCTGGATCGAGATGCTTCACAGTACAGGGACCCCAAGACGAAAGATGACACTCCACTCTTGGGTCTTTATTCTTGGTGGTCGTAGGTCCGTTTCTCTCTGCTCTTCTGTCCCCATTTAGCTCTTGTAAAATAACTGTTGCAGACCACTCGCCTAGGAAGTCACCTGATGTTGAATCTGGGTTATGATGGGTTTAGGATACTGCAGCCTATCCTTAATCCTCTTATTGGTTCATTACATCAAATCACATCCTGGGGGGCAGGGGGAATCATATATCTGCCCCACCACTAAGAATCATGACCCAGCAAAGTTGACATATATTTGGGTGGAGAGGGAGCACAATTCAATCTATGACAGATACCCCACTCAGTAGTCTGATGTTTTTCTTATGATAAAAAGAGATTATGGGTTTGGGGGAGGGAAGGCAGAGGTGTAAAGTATCACCTTAATTGCATCATATCAAGGACTTATACTATCAACATGACATAACTTCACTGATGTCCTCAGTCACTTGGCTGAGGTCATGTTTATCAGGTTTTCTGATTGGAAAGTTACTTTTTCTTCTCCATTTGCATACTCTACCATTTGGAAGGAAGTTGGTGTGTGTAGCCCACATCCAAGGAGTAGGAGTTTCTCTTTTTCCATGAAAGCAGAGGATCTACATGATTACTGTATTTGGAATTCTTCTGCCTCCTCCCAAGGGTTTTATAAACAAGCTCTGAGCCTCTCCAGAGGCATGTCACTAGTGGGGGAGATATACTCTGTGGTAGTGGCAGCTTGTGGGTTAGGAGTGACAGCTGGCCGGGGGGCTGGAACTGGGAAAGGAGCAGGATCTGGAAGCCAACCCCTGACACATGACTTCTTGGGAATTGAGCCTGTTGGGTGACTGGAACAGAGTGGGCTGAACCCAGGACTATAGCTTTAGGCAACACAAAAGGACAGACACTGCTCCCAGGGGACCCTAGGCTGGCAAGGCAAGACAGGTGGCGTGTGGAAGCATAATGCTGAGTTCAGGGAAGGAATGTCCTCCCAACAGAAGGGAGAAGGCCCAATGGACCTGAAAACCAAACACAGATCCATTGTTTCTGAGTAGATTCGGACTCATGGTGACCCCATGTCTTATAGAACTGCTCTGTAGGGTTACCTTGGCTATAATCCTGAGGAAAGTAAATTGCCAGTCCTTTCTTCCGTGGTACCAGTGAATGGGCTCAAGCCATCCTTTAGATTAGCAGTTGAGCACAACTCACTTGTGCCACCCAGGAACCTTGATGGGCCTGCACCCCTCTTGAAATTATTGAGCAGAGAGTGCAGAACCAATAATGAAACATGAGGGAATTTTCGCTATCATTGTGGTTTTATTATCCAGGATTGCTTGTTTTCTTGTTGCTCAGGACAAGACTAATATCTGAGTTTATATAAAGGAAAAGATTTGATCAGTGGTAGTTGTAGTCTGCTGACACAGCAGACATTCTGGCAGGGGATGAGCCTGCCACATGCTTAGGGATTCCAGCACACAGGGAGGACAAGGTGTCCTTACTCCACAGGGACCCAGGGCCTGACTCTCCTGCCCCCTCCCCCAGAAAAGCACCAAGACAGCAACAGAGGTGGGTCGCACGTTTGCCACCATGTTCTCGGACATTACTTTCCGCAAGAAGCTCTTAGAGACCCGCACGGTGGAGGAGTTCAAGGAGGCCCTGGTGCATCAAAGGTACCTGCTCACCATGGCCAGCCAGCATCGGCACAAGTCCTCCAAGAAGTACAGTGTGTACTCCATCAGCCACAAGCCCCTGCAGGTGCGGCATCAGATATGCGTGGGTGGGACAAGCATGGGCCCAGTAGGCCTAACAGTCATTCTGTCTTTCTTCCCCCTCCCCAACCCCCACAGCGCAAGGACTTCTTCTCTGTAGGGAAAGGCATCTGGGATGACATCGTTCGAAGGTTCCCCGTGTACCCACTGGACTTTACAGATGGTATGTGGGCCCATGACCTGTGTTCCACTCAAGACCACCTTTCAGCCCCCAGGACAACAGGGCTGCCTGTCCTGCGTCTGCAACGAGCCCCCTGTCCCACCTTCCTTCCTTAGGCCTAATCGGGGACAAGGCAGTGGGCAAATACATCACCACCACCATCTTCCTCTACTTCACCTGCCTCCTGCCCACGATTGCCTTTGGGTCCCTCAATGATGAGAATACGAAAGGAGTCATTGGTGAGGGGTGAGGGCTGATGGGTAGGTGCTGGACTGGGCCCAAAGCTGTGGTGTCTACCTGACCTTCCCACTCCCACAGATGTGCAGAAGACCATAGCTGGGCAGAGCATCGGAAGCCTCTTCTATGCGCTCTTCTCTGGACAGCCGCTGGTGGTACTGCTGACCACTGCACCCCTGGCCCTCTACATCCACGGTGCAGTGGGGACGGAGTGGGGAGGTGGAGGTCAGGGTCCCTGCCCCTGCCCCCTGACCCCCACCTCTGTCTGCTGCCTGCAGTGATCCAAGGCATCTGTGATGACTACCAGCTGAATTTCAAAGCCTTCTATGCATGGACGGGACTGTGGAACAGCTTCTTCCTTGGACTTTATGCCTTCTTCAACCTCAGTCTGGTCATGAAAGTCTTCAAGAGGTGATGGGCCTTCTCTGAGGTGCTGAGGCTCTCAAGCAGGAGATGGGTCAGCCTCCTGACCAGCTTCTGAGGCCCCACAGCCCTAGATGGGATGCCCCCTCTGTCACTACCTTGAGGGGTGGGCCTGGGGCCCTGGGGTGTGTGGCAGGGATTCAAGGAACCCTAGATACCATGCAGGGATTCAGGGAACAAGACCTCACCACCATCTTACGAGGTATATCACCTTGCAGGTCAACCGAGGAGATCATTGCCTTGTTCATCTCTATCACATTTGTGCTAGATGCTGTCAAGGGCATGGTCAAAAGTGAGTATATAGCAGGCAGCAGTATGCCACCCCGGCCCACCCATCCCCACAGGCTGTGGGGCCTAAGCTGAGATGGGGTCTGTTGGGCCATGGCCAGGGCATCCAGGAAGGGCATTATAATGCTAAAGTGGTGTCTATAGTCAAAGAAAGCTGGCAGAAATGGCCATGTGTTCCAATGGTGACCGGGCAGCTCATGACAGGACCAGAAATGGGAGAGAGGCATGGGGTCAGATGTGATGGGGTGACAGATGGAACCGAAGGACAGTGGCAGGGCTGTGGGGGGGGTGGGTGAATGAGCAGGTGGGTAGGGTTCTGGCTGACAGGGGGCTCCAGCTTCCTCCCCCTCCCTTACCTGTTAACCTCCCCACCGCTAGGTCTTTTCCCTCTCCTTCAGGATCTCACCCACTTCCCCTCAGGGCCCCCTCCAACCCCACAGGGAAGCTAGGCCTCAACCTTCCAAAGCCCAGATGGCTGAGGCCTGTGGGTCTGCCTGTATCCACAGTCTTCAGGAAGTACTACCATGGCCACCATTCCCATGACAAGACTGCATCCCTGGTGAGCCTGCTGAGCCTCAACACTAGCATCCACACTGATCTCAACACTAACGTGCTGACCACGCTACACCCACAGCTTCAGATTGACAGCCACATGGACGCGGGCCGAGACACCGCTGTGCTCAGCCTCCTCATCATGCTGGGCACCCTCTGGCTGGGCTATACCCTCTACCAGTTCAAGAGGCGGTGAGGGCACACCTAGGGATAAGCTGGGGGTGGGGAACCTACAGCCCCCAGACAGCGGGTGACAGATACCTCCCTTTGTCTCCAGCCCCTACCTTCACCCCTATGTGCGGGAGGTCCTGTCTGACCTGGCCCTGCCCATCTCAGTCCTGGCCTTCTCTGTCATCAGCTCCTACTATTTCCAAGACATCCCGAGTGAGTTAGGGAGAGGTGGGCGGGTGGGAGGGAATCTAGGGGGGCTCAAAACTGAGTAAGAGCCTGCGCTCTACTGCAGTGAGCAAGTTCCGCTACAACCCCAGCGAGAATCTGTTTGAGCTGGCCCAGATGGATCTTCTGTCCCTGGGGGCCGTCGGCAGTGCCATGGGCCTCGGCTTCCTGCTTTCCATGCTCTTCTTCATCGAGCAGAACCTGGTGGCCGCCTTGGCTAATGCACCAGAGAACAGGTACCCCTCTCCCAGGAGCTGAGATAGGAGGGAGTGGTGGGTGGCAGGGAACCCCAGCTTTGCCGGGGGCTAACAGGGCTGGGCCCACTCGGGCCACTATCTGCTGCAGGCTTGTTAAGGGCACTGCTTACCACTGGGACCTCCTGCTCATCGCCCTCATCAATACCGGACTCTCTCTGTTTGGACTGCCCTGGATCCATGCTGCCTACCCCCACTCTCCCCTGCACGTGCGGGCCCTGGCGTTTGTGGAGGAGCGTGTGGAGCATGGGCACATTTATGAGACGTGAGTATGAGAGCTGGGGTGGGGAGCCCCAGGGACATGGCTTAGGAGCAGGGCCCAGATGTGACCCCTGCCGCCTGGAACTGCACACAGGATCGTGAGTGTGAAGGAGACACGGCTGACTTCGCTGGGCGCCAGCATCCTGGTGGGCCTCTCGCTGCTCCTGCTGCCCTTCCCACTGCAGTGGATCCCCAAGCCTGTGCTCTATGGCCTCTTTCTCTACATCGCTCTCACCTCCATTGACTGCAACCAGCTCTTTGAGCGAGTGGCCCTGCTGCTCAAGGAGCAGGTACATGCCTGGTCCAGAGGGAGGGGTGCATGTGGGCCCCTACCTACCTGTGACACACCTGTGTCTGTCCCCGCTGCAGACTGCATACCCACCCACGCACTACATCCGGAGAGTGCCCCAGAGGAAAATCCACTACTTCACAGGCCTGCAGGTCCTGCAGCTGCTGCTGCTCTGTGTCTTTGGCATGAGCCCTCTGCCCTACATGAAGATGATCTTCCCCCTCATCATGATTCTCATGATCCCCATCCGGTACAGGCAGCAACTGTATGGGTGGGAGAGTGGGCAGGAGGCTCTCAGCCTGGCCTGTGGGGGAGCTGGTGGGGGCTGCTCACTGCCTTCTCCTTTTCTGTCCCAATGCTAATCCTCCTGCCCCTCTCCCCATCCAGCTATAACCTGCTGCCTCGAATCATTGAAGCCAAGTACCTGGACGCCATGGACGCTGAGCACTGAGGCCAAGACAGGCAGGCCCTGGTCACACCCCTCCTCACCCTCTCCAACTGGCTGTGGCAGCACGGCGTGGTGTGGGTGTCTCTTGAGATATTATTGTTCTGTTATGCACCTTCTCACAGCTGCCGGACAGGTCTAGGGGTGGTGAGGGTCATTGGTATGTGCCCACCTTTCTCTCCAGTAGCCTGTTGGTTTGGGTTGGGAACACTGCTCGGGGCAACTTTCGCCCAGGGTAGGAATTAAGCAGGACAGATTTTCTTTTGATAAAAGAGTCTATGCCTGAAAAAGAAAGCACTTCCTTGATTGTGTAAGGAACTCATTGTATGCACCTTAGAGAATAAAGCTCATGTTTCTAGGTTTCTCTGTGCTACCTCCATCCCTGTTGCCCAACCTCAGCCACTAAAGGCTGCCCAAGGGCCCTGGGGAAGGGAAAAGAACCTCCACTGTAGAGTGTCACCCATGGATGGTCATCTCTAGTCCCTCATAGTTGGTGCTAGCCCAGTGGAGTACCATGCAGTCTAGTGGGGAACCAAGAGGCTTTGACATGGGCTGCTGTGTGGCCAGGCACCAGACCAGCAGGGAGAGAGTTTGGGCCTGGAGTTTGTGCACTGGGGAAATGAGGGCTGATCCTTACATGCATATTGAGATGTGGAGTACTGCACCCTGGACCAGGGCAGAGATGGTGTGACAGTGTGGATAGAGGGAAGTAGGAGAATTACAGACAGTAGAGCATGGGATTGATTTGGGAGGGGAGAAAGTGCCATGTTTCTGGTTTGGGCACTTGGTGACTAACAAGGATCCATGACAGAGGTGTGCCCTGTGCATATTGGAGTAGAGGTGGTGGGCAGAAGCACCTGGCTCACCTCATCAATGGCCAAGGGGACTTTGGCTCGACAAACTGATACCGTGGCCCAGGGTAGCCAACTAAAGGAAGACTAAGACAGCACTCCAGCAGAAGAGGGCAAAGATTAACAGGAACTTTACAGAAGAGGGTACCCAAAAGGCTATCAGGAGTGGCAAGAGATGCTGCATCAAAATCCTTAGGAATCAGCAACGCAAGCGCCAGCGACGGATCATCTGGGAGACTGGCAAGAACCAGAAGGCTGGTTGATGCGCTGGGAGCTACGGGACCCTAGTGCCCTGATAGGGAAAAGGAGACAGGCACGTTCAGGCAAGTGTTCCCTCCAACCAAGTCATTCTGCCCTTGGGCAGGTGGGGGTGAGTACAATGATGTGCTCAATGGATGGGTAGCAAAGATCCAGACAAAACTTGGAGAAACTAAGCAGCAAATTCTGAGGGGCACCCTATCCCACCACCCCACTGCAGTGTGTAGTTCTTTTTCATGACGTTTCCCTGGTAGTCTGGGCGTTCCCTGCAGGTGAGACTGACCAGAACCACCAGGCCTGGAGCAGGCAGACCCATCCCCCACCCCACACACAAACACACATCAGTCCATGTCTAAGCTTCTGCTGAGATCACACACCCACCAAGGAAACCATTCAGGAGGCTGGGCATGTGCACTGGCAACTCTTGGGGAAAACCCAGCTGGGCCTCACAGGCAGGAGGAGTAAGTGAATGAATCCTCACAGCTGTTCACAGTCCTCACAGCTATTCATCTCGGTCAGGATTGCGAGTAGGCAGGAGATTTAAGTTCTCCGGTGTTACATGTGAACCACCAGCATCAAGGGCACCCACCCTGATCAGCTGAACATTCTAGCTGCTCTTGACAGCACGAAGCAAAAGCACTGGGCATTCTACATTGTTCACCCCAGACACATGCCAGAACCAAGACCAGGACGGCCAGTTGGGCAATAGCATCTGACTCGACATGGACAGCAGGGCTTGCATTGAAAAGATCAGCCCAAGATCTGAGACTTGAAGAATTACTGCAAGCTAGCAAGGGCGCACGAGCATCCTCAAGACACAGTGCCGCCCATGTCCCCCAGCCCCACCCCACCTGAAAGACTTCCTACCACCTACCATAAAGTAAGTATCATACAGGCATCTGCCTCCGGCAGGTTTCAAAATTCAGCTGAATCCTATTTATTTTGCAAACAAGGGCCTTCCAGAATTATTTGCCAAACTTGAAAAATACCTAAGGTCATTTGCACCCCCAAATCCTAGATCCTGAGGCCAGTTTTAACATCAAGGTCTTTGCGGGATCTGAGATGTGAAGGCTGCATCTGAGTCACTGAATCCCTGAGACAAGAGAATGGTGTCCCTTGTCCAGTGTTTCTCTGCAGAGCCAGCTGCTCCACACAGGACTGGCTAGGCTGTCTCCACACTCTCAGGAAGTACTTTGAGGAGTGCCTGTTGATGGGAGAGGTTTCGGGCTAGCTTTCCCCAGATCCCTGGCCTGAGGGGCCTCCTCCGGCCCCACGGAGAGTCAAGCTGCCAAAGTATTCCTGCAACTCAAGCAGGGCCCGGAAGCGATGGGAGATGGCATTCTTCTCCGCTTTGGGCATCTCTGCATACCTAGAAGGGCGACAAGCAACTGCTCAGGGAGAAGGAAGCCTAGATACAAGCAAGGAGGAGATGGACCCTACTCAAGCCCAAAGCTTAAGGAGTTCCCAGGGAAGGACAACAGGGCCATGGCTCCTGGCAGCCATGCTGGTTTTTAAACAAGTAGAATTTTAAGTTTCCTTGTAGAGTTGGAACCCGCATTAACAAGAGTGGAGGGATATTAAACTTGCTCCACTGTTTCCAAAACTCATTAAGGGAAGTTGGGGATGGGATGAGCTGCATGTTTGAACAGCTTTGTCATCTGTTGACAGGAAGCAGCAGGGCCTAGCAGAGCAAACACAGCAGCCTCCTCTGATGCATGGGGACCTGGACAGCTGGTGAGTGGCCTGTCCTCCCAACCACTCCAGGACCCCAGTGAATTGGGAATCCCAAACCCCACCTGTGCCCTTCAGATCTGCATTTTCCAGTACAGTAGCCACTAGTCACACGTAGCTATTTAAATGTAAGGGAAGCAAAATGGAATAAAAATAAACACAGTTTCTCAGTTGCAAAAACCACATTTCAAGTGCTCCGCAGCCACATGTGACTAAGTGTAGATTAGACAACATTGCTGTCATCAAAGAACGCTGCCTTAGATACACAGCAGTGCTTCTTCATAGCTGTCTGGCTACTAGGAGGTCTCAGGCTCCTTTCAAAGGGCACCTCCAGTCTGGAAGGCCTCTAATTCCAATACTGGCTGCTCTGTCTCCGGCAATTATGGGGTGGTGAGGTGCTGTGTGATAAAGCTCTGGATCACAAGGTAGTTGAAACTTACCAGCCACTCCTCAGAAAGCCAACGAACTGAGTCGATGGCACTTAACAACAACAACAAATACGAAACAGGGAGTTGTAGGATAGGCACTGGACTGCTAACCACAAGGCTGGTGGTTCAGACGCACCAGCTACTCCTTGGAAATCCAAACCAGGGCTGCTATGTGTCAAAAACAACAGGAGTGCACTTAATAATAGTACGAAATAGAGCCCTGGTTTGACAATGTAGGATAAGCACTAGACTAACAACCACGAAGTTGCCAGTTCAGACCCATCAACCACTCTCAGAAACCCTATACATGATCACTATGAGTTGGAACCAACTCAATGGCACACAACACTATGAAATAAGGAACACTGGTAGTGCAGTGGGTTAAGTATTGAGCTGCAGCCAAAAGGTCAGTGGTTCAACCCACCAGCTGCTCCACAGGAGAAAGACAAGGATGGGCTGCTCTGTTCTATGGGTGGCTATGAGTTGAAATTCACTTGGTGGCAGTGGGTTTCATAGGAAATACTAAGAACACTTGGCACAATGGGGATTGAATGTGGAACCCACCAGGGCTGCAAAATTCTTAACATTTTCCCAAACTAGATACAGAAGTCCGAAAACTACCCCCCAAAGCTGCCTGGTCTCCAGGTAACTAGCTAAGGCTAGTGAGAAGCACTGAGGTTACAACAGCCATCTGGGTGTGCTGCAGCCAGAGAGCTGGCTATGCCTGGCTGCCTCCCTCCTGTGACTGGGCCACCCAGATTCCATGTGTCCATCCCAGCAGAGCCTCCTTCAACTGAAACGACACCCTCAGAACCTGCTCCCGCCCATACCTGCATGCCTGCATTGGGTGAGGTGCTGACCCAACCCTGACCCCACATCCCAGGGGATGAAATTGGGACGCCTTACGTCTGTTCGTATCCATCAGGCTGAAAACAGGGATCCCAGCCAAAGTCCCGGCATCCTCGGGGCACCACGATCTGGCCCTGCCACAGGTAAGGGGACAACAGGCGTGTCACTAACAGGAGGGAGGGGGGAATGTACTAGAAGAGCAGCAGGCAGTGGGTTTGGTTATTTATGAATTTGGTCAGTTTCCTCAAAATGTAAGGATTCATGAGACCCTTGACATGCCAGGTGAAAACACATCCCTAACTGGCCCACCAGCTCCCCTGGGCTCACCCTTCTGTTTCTCATATTTAATCAACTTCATTGAAGAACTCAAAAACTGACACAAACCATTTTCTTCTACTTGCAAGTTGAGGGCTGTGAATTTTATAGCTTAGTCCTAGGCTTGTTAGTTAACAGCATTTCTCAAGGTAAGGGAGGTTCGAACAATGAAATGGAATGAAAATAACCCACAGCAATGAGCTCAATAGGTGGAAAAGGGCAGTGATTTGTCTCATCAATCAGACCCAAATGCAAACAGCTTCAGCATGTGGGCAGCTATGTAATCAAGTCCAGTCAATAGCCACTCTGAATCTCACTTGTGTAACAAGCAGTTTTTGAGCAATGAGTTGGAATCAACTCGATGGCACTTAACAACAACAACCACACAGAGCCAGGAGCTGTTTTCAGAACTGAGGAGGCTGAGCCTTGCCCTCACAGAACAGATCAGCTCATGAGCCAAACAGGCTTTATGCCAGGAAACAAACAAACTACTGGTTTCCAAATGCAAAGTCCCTCAAAGAGAACAAACAGGATGCTTGGTTCAAGAAAAACAGGAGGGACTGACATAGGTGGGGAGGTCAGGAAGACCTCAATGAGGCCAGGACACTGGGGTAAGAACATCCCAGGTGGAGGACACGGTTGGTGCCCAGTTGCTGAGATGGGGAGAGGCATAGCATATCTTAGTGGTTGAAAGGACAATAGGGTGGGGCTTAGAGAGCACAGTGAGAGCAGAGAGAAAGGGCAGGCTCCCTCAGAGGAAACAGGACAAGCAACAAAGGCAAAAAGCAGCCAAAGTGGGGGGAACAACAGGGAACGGTGAGACCACGGTGATACCAAAAACCCACTTGCATCGAGTCAATTCCAACTCATAGCGACCCCACAAGACAGAACAGAACCACTCCTTAGGGTTTCCGAGACCAAACATCTTTACGGGAGCAGGCAGTCTCATCTTTCACTGTGTAGTAGCTGGTGGGTATAAAATGCCCACCTTGTGGTTAGCAGCACAACACCTAACCCACAGCACTACCAGGGCTCCTACATAATGGCACAGGCCCATTCAACAGGGCAGCAGCTATTCTGGCAGTTGTAGGAAGCTGGGCCTGCGGAGACTTGAGCTGGTATTTTCAAGAGAAGTTGACACTTCTGTGAAACTAACAGACAAATTCCATGTTTTTATTATACATAAACACACATTAAATGGGATTCGGGTTTGCTTTTTTTGCAAATCATGTTAACTCCTTCCTGCATTAACTTCTTATGCACAAAATGCATGCATGTTATTTATGTGAGCGCATTATATGCAAAAACATAAGTTTCAAAAATTTAACCAGGCAGGGCAAAGTGAAACATCTGTGTACAGCCCCTGATGGAGCATCTATGGGTGGGCTTTGTTCACTGTGATGGAGACTTGGGTTAGATGTCTGAGCAGGGTGATGTGCCCCTGGGAGAGATGGACTGTGTGTGTGTGGGGTTGGTGAGCCATCTGGGAAGATGGTCTACACATTCTGAAAAGAGCTGAACTCATCTGTCTCATAGGTGGGGGTGGTTGAGGAGTAACACAAAACATCTAGGAAGAAAATGAGTTTGTGGGAAGAATTACAATTCTACACAGTTAAAAGGTTGGGAGAAAGTTGAGGTGGTCTGTTTCTACAAAGATTTACAGTCTCAGAAATCCTAACCAGTAGTTCTACTCTGTCCTCTCGGGTTGCTGTAAGTCAGAATTCACTACATGGCCATGGATAGGAGTAGTATGGTTGGAAAGGCCATGAAACATTCAAGGGGAGCCACAGTTTTGGTAGCTGCCTAGAGACTGGAGCCTGGAGAAGTCTACTCTGTAGATGTAGCTTTGGGAGTTGTCATCTTGAGTTTCTTCACTGGCCTCTCAGGTAGGCACAGGATGTTGAAGGCTCTCAGTATGTCTGCCCTCAACAGCTACTAGCATAATAATGGTTTCCGAAACCATCTGCTCCAGGAGTCAAATAGCTTTCAGGATTGACAGCACTTCTAACTGTGGCACCCAAAGGCATTTCTCGACAACACCCTGGTACTAACTCTGCTCCTAAGGTCCCAGCACCACTATCCTGCTGAAGATCAGATTGAGTGTCCACTCTGAGTTGCAGCTCCCTCTGGGTGACACATGGGGGTAGAGCACCCAGGAGGGTGGCACAAGTGGGTAGATACTCACAGAGGTCCGGCCCCTGAACAGGCGCACAGGCTCGCTGGGATCCCCAGTGGCGAGTGCAAATGTGCAAAGCGCGTAGGCTGATTTGTCGTCAAACCCGGCCAGAAGCTGGTGGAGACCTGCAGGCAGATGCAGTGAGGGCTCAGTTCTTGGTCAGTGCTGCCCAGCAATCCCTTCCCCTACAGCCAAGGAGGAAGGCCCCTAACAAGGGGCTGAACCAGGGCAGAGGCTGGGCTTGAAACTGAAGACTCTTGGTATAAGGGCCTACCTCAGGCACAAGCTGAGACGAGACTTGGCTACAAATGAGAGAACCAGCTAGCTGCTGGATAATATTATACTGACTGTAAAATATTAAGAAACTACTGATAATTATTTTAGTTACCGATCTTGTTATTGTTCAGTGCCATCGAGTCAGTTTCGACTCATAGTGATCCTAAATAGGGTTTTCGAGGAACAGGTGGTGGGTCTGAACTGCCAACCTTATGGTTCAGTCCTGTAATGCTCCTACAGCACCACACCAGAAGTCTTGTTATTGCTCACCAACTCATGGCAACCCCACATACAACAAAATTCAACTACTGTGATCTATAGAATTCTCATTGGTTGAGTTCTCAGAAGTGGTACAGAGGAGTCCCTGTGTGGTGCTATAGGTTGAAACACTGAACTGCAAGGTTGGTTTGAACTTCAAGGCCAACAATTCAAACTCACCAGCTGCTCCTTGGAAACCCTACACAGGTCACTATGAGCCGGAACCAACTCAATGGCACTTAACAACAACAACATTGGTATGGAGTCCTAGTGTGGCAATGTAGGATAAGCACTGACTGGTCACTGCAAGGTCGGCAGTTCAGATCCACCTGCTGCTTTTGGAAACCCTATAGAGGGTCTCTGTGAGTAGAAACCAACTCAATGGCACACAATAACTGACACATATAACCACCATTCCTCAGTCAGTCGGTCGTACTGTGGTGGCCTGTGTGTTGCTGTGATGCTGGAAGCTATGCCCACCACTATTACAAATACGAACAGGGTCACCCATGATAGACAGGTTTCAATGGTGCTTCCAGACTAAGACAGACTAGGAAGAAGGAACAGGTAGACTACTTTTGAAAAATTCACCACTGAAAACCTTATAAATAGCAGCAGAACATTATCTGATACACTGCCAAAAGATGAGCCCCTTAGGTTGGAAGGCACTCAAACCTCAATTACACAGTGACTGCAACAACAGGCCCAAATAGAACAATTGTGACAATGGGACAGGACTGAGCACTATTTTGTTCTGTTGCACATAGGGAATCAACTCGATGACATTTAATAAGCTGATGCTGTTAAGTGCTGCTGAGGTGGTTCCAACTCTTAGCGACCCCATATAGGGTTTCCAAAGAGCAGCTAATGGGTCTGAACTACCAACCTTGCAGTTAGCAGCCCAGTGCTTATCTTATAATGCCACATTAGGACTCCTAATAACATGACACATATTTGAAAATCCTTAATACAAAGTGTTATTTAAAACATCTAAAAAGGGAACATTCTGCCCTGCAATTGTGGGTGACAGGCTGTGTACTGCTGGTCCAGGAGGGGCAGGACCCCATTCCAGGATAGCCCCTGTCTGAGACAAAGATACAACAGTGGACATTTGGGCCATGTTCCTTTCAGAGACCCAGAAACAATTATTACATGCCTTTGTCCCTCCAAATTTCAGCCCCGCCACTCACACCTCAGGGCCCCCTGGAGGCAGGTGTGCAGGAAATGTGTGAGTCAAAAGTTACAGAGGGAAAACTGGGTGACATGGTAGAGGCTGAAACCTGGGTCTTCTGGTTACTAGTTGGGGCCCCTTCCCCAGAACATTCCTACGTTCCCAATTCCCAACAGATCCAAGGGGAAGAACAAAGGGAGATAATACCTTCTGGCTTTAACTTCTCCAGAAACCATTTTCTGCAAGAGAAACAGAGGTTAAAACACCGGGAGCAAGTGGGTCTTCCAACTAACTTCTTCCCTAGGTTGCACGTTGGTGGGAATTAGAGCTTAAAGACAGCCAAAGGGAAATGTCTCAAATCAAAATGAAGAGAGACACCCAATAGGAAAAAGGAAATAAAGGTCAATAGACAATCCATAGGACAAAAACAAAAGAAGGCTGGACCAGACTGGTAATTAGGGAGAAATGCCTATTAAAACTCCCGAACAATAAATTTTCACACTCAGCAAATTGTGGAATGTTAAAAGTCATTAATCCTTAGCGTTGACCAGGATGAGGAGCAATGGAGACTCCAGTGTATTGTGAGAAGTGGGTACGAATGCCACTGCCTTGGCAAACAACCTGGCAACCCAAGTTACAGATCTACATACCTAAAGCTTCCACCGGCACATCTGCAGATAGGGCTTCAAAAAGTTCATGGAAAATTTCATTATCTTCTCATTTCATTTTCCCACCTATTTTCTAAAGCTTCCTGGTACATACTCAAATCCCAACAACACTTCTGTGCATATAACCGTGAGCCTCATGCAAGGGTCTTCAAATTAGGCTATGTAAACTCTAGAGATACAAAAAAACCTTTTATGGGGGTTAAGGGCACTGGATAGTTTTAAGGAAATCAATTTTCAGATCTCAACTTCCTTATTTCCTCTCTCCTGAAATTGATCTGTCCACGAATGGGCCTCAGAACCATATCTACTTACACAATCATTCTCATACTTTACAAAAGAAAGGCCGTCCTCTCCCCACCCCTAATCCTTCCTGGGGACAAGGACAATCCGAAACATTGGCATTGATACCAAGACAGTTAATGACCTGTAACATCATTTAAACACAATCCTTTTGTAGTTCAGGTGGTTTTATGGCCTGAGGCCCTAACAGGGGAGCAGAGGAACACTCACATGTAGGGACCAGGAAGTCCCCCGAGGGCATTGAAGCAGAGACAGGTATCCTCCACCAGCACAGGCCCCTGTACCTGCAGCACAAGGACATGTAGCCTGAGACCAGAGACCACAGTAGACCCCACCCCTCCCTGAATTTCCAGGCCACCTGGACACGGGCCACACCCATGGCTAGTTTGAGGAATGGTGGGTGCAGTAAGAGCCACAGGGAACAGCCCTCAGCTACTTTCTTATCTTCCTTTTAAGAGATGGGACACCAGAGCCTCTGCAGCTTGTAAAATGTGTTCCAGGCATAGCCATGGGAGGGCTAAGATTCACAACCAAGCACTCTTCATCAAGTGCTCGTTCTTGGTTCCATTGACAGGCATGAATACAGGGGTGTTTGGGTATGAGGAAAAGGCACAGGGCTAGACTGTGCATATGAGAATCTGAAGAAAGAATATGTGAGTATGCACACAGGCACATATACTTGGGGGCAATAATGTCAGAGTCAGGGTTGGAAAAGGAAGCAGTGTTTCAGAGTCTACATTAACTAACCCCAGCCGAGTCAGGACCCAACAAGCTCCATTATACTCTGCCTGCCTCCAGCAAGCACAGGCCCTAGGAGCCACCAGGCCAAGAGGAGAGAGTGTGGGATAGCACAGAGCAAGCACCTGGCGAGCTGCCTCCCGACACTTCTGGATGGAGATTTCATCAGGCTCTCCTTGGTACTCTGGCACTTAAAAGGGAAACAGACACACAGGTCACAGGGGACAGAGAAATGGAACCATTTTTTTTTTCATATTTTAATTTCATTTGAGTATGCCACTTTTGCAAATTAGAAAATAAAGTCAAACTGAGCCATCTAATTCTCTAGTGATCCAAGCTGTCTTTGATTTGATCTTCAGCAGAATAGCATTATTCAAGATGCTAATAATGAGACTGTAAAACTCTAGAGAGTAAACCACCATTTATTTACATTTTCCATTACCAAACACCCAAATATCCAGTTCTAAAAGGCATGATATAAACAACATGTTAATCTACAAAGGACAGAATGACTCCAATTATATGCTGGCTATCCCTTTGGTGAAACAGATCGGAGCTGACCAAGGAATGGTAAATAAAGAAAATGCTGAACATCTTAGAAACCTGCTCAGTTTTTAAAACTTTCCAGTGTTTGTCAGTAAGCAAGTAAAAAAGTAGATAACTGATTTTTACCAACGTAGGAATACCTTGTGTTCCACTAGAATACAAAATGAGAGGTAAGTACAGGAGTAACAAAATACTTAGGATACCTATTTTCAAAATACTTAGCTAGAAAAAAAAAATGCGACATACTGCATTTTCCCATTTGCCACAAGAACAAATTCACAAGGAAGACTAAAGAACATTCAACCATAAAAAGGGTGGTGGCGTCAACACTTTCCACTACAGAATAACTTCCTGTTTCTCTATACAGCTAACGTCACTAGTCCTCCGTGATACACATTCATGCGGAAAAACTGGTCAGAGGTTTTTGTCCAGGTCAGGAGATGAAAAATAAAGAATGTTCTAATTAGTTACCTGGAAGCTCAGTTAATATCTTTGGGACAGACCTATAAAATCTGGCCTTATTTTTTGGTAAACATCTGTGGTGGTGGTTATGTGCCGTGGAGTCGGTTCCAACTCACAGTGACCCTGTACAGGGTTTCCGAGACTCTAAATCTTTATGGGAGCAGAAAGCCTCATCTTTCTCCTGTAGAACAGCTGGTAGTTTCAAACTGCTGACCTTGCGGTTCGCAGCCCAATTAGTAACCTCTAATCTACCGAATTTCTTAGCCCTCAGCTATAGTTTCTGCCTAATGTCTTAAAATGAGCTCAGTCCCATCTATGGCATGAGGTAGGTGCTCGTCATCATAGGAATAACCTTGCTAGCCTTTGGATGCATAGTAAGCAATGCACAGATGGTAGAATCCTGGCAGGAACACCAGGATGCCAGTGATCAGGATGGGAACAGCCCAGTCTGTCCCCTCTTTGCTGATGCAGCCCACCAACAGGAGGGAGCCGAAGGTCACTGTAACCATCATCTGTGTTGGAGAGCCTCAAGTACTTCACTTTACACAGTCCCCAGTAGCCAGGTTGGTACAAGACAGCATCCTAACACTTGGCTACAGATCGTTCTGGAGCAGAGACATCATTCCCAGTTGACGGCTGAGGCATATAATAAGGCCTGATGACATGCACCACCTAAATGCCACCCTCCCACCCTACTCAAACCATCTTTTAAAAATAAAACAAAACAGAGACATACGGTCAATTTTCTGAGCCACCAAAGTGCATGGAAACTTATCTCCTAGAATCTGAATGACCTGTTTCAAAATAAAGAACATTTATCATAATTTGTTAATGAATCCCCATTCTTATATGAGCTATGAACCATCTTTCTCACCAGGTAACAATCCCCTAAAGCTTACCAAGTCAGGTCCACGAGCCTCATCCCAGCCTGGGGTCCCACCCCAGCAGGTCAGCACCCTCATCTTCTTACTCCTCTGTCCTTCCTACTTCAACTCTCTGCACCTGCAGACCCTCCCCCCCACAACCACTTCTATCTCAATACCTCCAGAAACCCTACCCATCCTGATCGGACCAGAATTCTCTATCCAGAGTTCAGGAGGCCTGCAAACTTAAGTAGGGGAAAAAAAACTTGTCTTTTCACTAACCTCGAACTGAAATGTAGCATCTTTCTCAATTATGAATATAGACAACACACCAAAGTATTAACATTACTTTTTAAAGGAGCTCTAGTATCTCAGTGGGTTAGGCACTGAGTTGCTAACCAAAAGGTTAGCTGTTTGAGCCCAACAGTTGTTCCAGGGGAGAAAGACGAGGCAGTCTGTTTCCATAAAGATTTACAGCCTTGGAGCAGTTTAACTCTGTCCTACAGGGTCACTTGGAGTCCTGGTGTGGCGCTATGGGTTAATGCGTCAGACTGCAAAGCTGTTTGAACTGCAAGGTTGGTGACTGAAGCTCACCAGCTGCCCCTCGGAAACCCTATACAGGGTCACTATCGGTCGGAATTGAATCGATGGCACTTTACAACAACAGGGTCACTTTGAGTCTGAATTGACCTTTAAACTAATTAAAACCACAGATACTGTCATATTCCATTACGGCTGTTGCAGACTTTATTTTCCTTTTGTCACTGGAGTACATGGGATGAAAAAAGTTAAGACTCCTCCCCAGGGCAAGTTCCAGCCCATCTTCTCAAGGGAGAGCCAGTCACTGCAGCCCCTCCTTTATGTGTGAGAGGAACAAGTTTTCAGCCAAAGGCAGAGATGGGATTGGGGTTTGGCACACACTATCCTGCTTATGGCTTGGGGTGGCATGGCCTATCTGCTTTAGTGGTCTGGTGGCAGGATCCAAACCTTTATCGGCATGTTGTTGTTAAGTGCTGTCCAGTTGATTCCAATCCATAGTGACCCTGTGTAAGGTTTCCAAGGAGCAGCTGGTGAGCGTGAACCACCGACCTTGCAGTTCAAACGACTTTGCGGTCTGACGCATTAGCCCACAGCGCTACACCAGGACTCCTTTATCAGCATAGGGCAGGGGAAAGAGGACCTGGCCTGGCATCACTGTTTCCTATGTTGTGGGCAGATGAAGGCTCCTCTAACAACTGCACTTCACTTGTCTGCCTCAGACATGCCCAGTGCTATCAGCCCTTCATTCCACCTCCCAGGTCATGGCTGACCGGGCTTGGCAAACCTTTGACTGGAATAGGACAACCAGAGCTAATACGTGCAGGAGCATCATTACCCACGGCACCAGAAGAGAAGAAAACAAAACAAAAACAAAAAAAAAACGCCAATAGGATTAGGAATAAGTGTGGGTGGTGGACTACAAGGCAGGCCAGCCCCTCAGGTCCTGTGGGGCACCGTATTCTCCAAGAATCTGCTGGTGGCTTAGATAACCTCCATACATCTTTGTTACTTGCAGCCAAAGACTGTAACCGCCAAAACCCTTCTAGCTAGCTACAGCGTCCTTAACCCCTGTGGGCAGGAACTTTGGGATCGCTGCCTCCTTCACTCCTCCTCTCCTTAGCTCTGGGAAGCTGACCTTATGAGTCCTCTTTATTTCACAGATGCATAAAAACAGGTTGGGGGCCCCATTTCTGACTGGAGAGGAGTATAGGATGGCTCGATCCCATGTCCTCTTCAGCCCTTCTGGGTTAGTTCTGGCGTGGTGCTGAGTCCTGTTTTGGGTCTAGTTCATTAGGTGACCTTTAGGACAAGTGTTAGGGCCTTATGTGTAGGCCTTAATCCCATCACAGAGTCCGCGCCGCCCCCACTCCGTTGTTCCACTCCCCGCGCCCCGCAAAACCCCAGCCCGGACCCGTCCCTCCTGGTCGGACTCTCGGTTCTCCCGCGGTACCACTTGCCACGTGTTTCCCTTCGCCTTTCTCCTCCTTCCCCAGCCCACCCAACCACATGCTCCCCCTAACTATCTCCGGACAGCCCTCCATGCCCTCCTGCACCTCCTCCAGTTTCTTGGCGTTCCCTGTGACAAACACGACCTTCTTCCCCACTAAGGAGGTTGCCATGGTGGAGACAGTCTATTCCGAGTATCCACCGGAAGCCTCTTTGCCTGAATCACAGGACACTTCCGGCTGGCAGCGGAAGGGGGCGGTGCGGCATCACTTTGGATTCCCGGGGAGGGTAACCTCGGGCTCAGTAGGCATCCCTCCAATAGTGGGGACAGCCTGACCCCTCCCCCCTCCCCCAGAGCGGCGGAGGGCTAGCAGGGAAGAAAGCAGCACCGTCCCCCCTGCGCTGCGTTGCTACGGTCCGCGATGCCGTTCCTGAGACTGGGATTGAGTGCGCCAGGGCCTGGCCCCTCCGCCACGACACTGCGTTCCCATCATCGCACCTTCATCCCCTCCCAAGCTTGTTTTCATCCCTCTACTGTAAGGAGGGCGCTGCAGAACCCTTTCGTCCCTACCCTGGAAGAAGTTATGGATTGACGCCCTGTGATCTTAGCGGTTCGCTTTCTCCCCAGGCACCTCCTAAACTGTTTCCCAGGGATTCCAGACGCAGTTGTCTATCCTGACTCACCTCATCCCCACCCCGCTAACTGCCTTCCTGCCTGCCACTGTAGAACTAGTTGACTGAGCTTAAATTTAGCAAACCCGGGACCCTCAGTATTTCCATTCCCTCATCCCACCATTCTCTCAAATCTATCATTCCATACCCATTGTCTAAACCAGATCCTTGCATCCTGAACTCAGCAATGGTAGGAAGTGTCCCAACAGGCCCTCCTCTGAGACAGGCCTTGGCCTTCCCTAACATTCTCATTTCCCCTTTCAGTAGCTCAACACCCTACTGCCAGGAGCAGTAGATCCCAAAGGTCCCAAAGGGTCTGTATTCTTATTAAGCTCCCTGTCATTCTCATGCTTATCCAAGTGTGGGAACCTGTTTTGAATGGCCTATTTTGTGTTACTGAAGCAGGAAACACTAATGATCCCCAAAACTTAGGTTAGACATAAGGAATGTCATCCTTTCTTCATGTTGTTGTTGAGTGTCGTTGAGTCAATTCCGACCCATAGCGACCCTGTATAGGGTTTCGGAGGAATGGCTGGTGAGCTTGAACCTCTGACCTCCTGGTTCAAACAACTTTGCAGTCCAACACACAGTACCACACCAGGACTCCTTTCTTCTTATAGTCTTGGGGAATCCCCAGGGAGGCAGAGGGGCAAAGGAAGTTCCCTTCAGCAAAACTGACCTGCTTGTTGAAAGCAGCTGCTAGAGCCTCAGGTTAGAAGGAGCATGTCAGAGACATGAGTAAGGCACTGTGGTACACAGACAAGTGCCGCCTGCTGTTGTTAGTGTCATGACCCAGGAACCCTGGGTACTAGAAGAACCACCTAAATTGAGGAGTCCTAGACAGTCACTCAGCAAGTCGTATTTCTTAGTGATCTTAGTGCTGGTATAACACAAGTGGGTGGCTTTAACAAACAAGTTAATTTTCTCACAGATTGGGAGGCTAGAAACCTGAATTCAGGGTGCCAGTTGTAGGGGAAGGTTTTTTGCCGCTGTCAACTCTGAAGGGAGGTCTTTGGGGTGTGTTTTGAATTAATCTCTTGAGAGATAAAGGAGATTAAGCAAGCAAGTAGAAGTAGGGAGTTTCTATTCCTGGACAATCTTCTAGTGGCTTGGCATCCCTCTTCCCTCACCCCTACTTTTGATGTTATTGTTATCAAGTGCTGTTGAGTCCATTCCAACTCATAGTGACCCTGTATAAGGTTTCCAAGGAGCAGCTGGTGAATTTGAATCGCCAACTTTATGGTTCAAACTGACCTTGTGGTCCAGAGCTTTATCCCACAGCACCAAACCAGAACTCCCTACTTCTTTTACTTTAAAAATTTGCAGCTGGGTGTTACAAACTAATTGAAAGGTTAGCGTTTCAAAGTGACCCAGAGAAACCTCAAAAGACAAACCTGATACTATACTGCCGAAAGGTCAGTCTTCAAAATTTACAGAAAAGAATACAAGAAATGCCAAAATACCATTTCAGTGTAAGAAATGTTATGTTAACATGTTGCTATATCAGGTCAAACCTCTCCCCCCACTCCATGACCAGGCAAGCTTTATTTCTGTCATCACACACACACAGCTTCATACTACTATAAAAGTTCCCAGTAGTTATTTGCTTTTTAAAAATTTTTTGAATCCACATCTTGTCTCCAATGAATTTGTTCTATAAACAATTTTCTGTTGTTAGATGCTATCCGGTTGGCTTAGATTTATGATGACCTTATATATAGTATATCAGAAAGAAATATTGCTAATCTTGTATCATCTTCATGATTGTTGGTATGTTTGATTCCATTGTTGTAGCTACAAGGACGGCGGTTCAAGTTCACCAGCAACTCCTCAGAAACCTTATACAGTGTGTCTATGAGTTGGAACCCACTCTACAGCACTTAACAACAACAATTCTTGTATAACTCAATGAAACTAATATTTTTCAATAAGTATAAGACTGAAAATCTGAGTAAAGAAAGCATGTCACATCTATTTAAATGGAAGATTTGGTCTCTCGCTCTTTTAAATAAATCAAATATCACAGATACAGCTAAAACTCTCCCCTTAATTTCATTCCAGCTCCTCCCTCCCCAGAGTTAACTACTATTCTAAGTTGAAGTGTGCCATTCCTAAGCATCTTTTGTACTCTTTTCATGTATGTACATATGTGGTGTTGTTTAATGATTTTTAAACATATGTAACTATTGTCCATAGCATGGTCACTTGCAATTATTTCCACTTAACATTATGGTTTTTCACCACCCCCCCAAAAAAAGAACTTACTTTAAAGTAAAAACTAATAATTAGTTTTTAAAAATAAATTATATAATTATAATTAATGAAAGTTTTTGTACTGAACTGGTAGAGACTAGAGGAACCCCAGAGACTATCGCCCTAGGATATCCTTTAAACTTGGAACTCAAACCACTCCAGGAGGTTACCTATCAGCCAAAAGACAGAGTAGCTCATAAAACAAACAATATCACTTCCTCTAAACAATAATCTGTAGTCCTGGTATGGCGCTGTGGGTTAATGTACCAGACTATAAACTTATTTAAACTGTAAAGGTCGGTGGTTCAAGCTCACTGGCTGCTCCTCGGAAACCCTATGCAGGGTCTCTATGGGTCGGAATCAACTCAATGGCACTTAACAACAACAAACAATAATCTAAATGAGACCTGGTGGTGGTGGTTGTGTGTGACCGAATCAGTTCATAGCAATCCTGTATAGGGTTTTGGAGGCTTCACAGGAACAGAAAGCCTTTCTCCCTGGAACGATTGATAGATAATCCACTACACTACCAGGGCTCCTTAAAATGAGACCTAGCAGTCAACATTTTATGCTAGACCAAAAACAATAGCTAAAGAGGGGCAGGGAAGCTAGATTGATGGAAACAGAAGAATCAAAATGAAAATGAGAATGCTGACACATTGTGAAAAGTGTAAACAATATCACTGAGAAGTATGTATAGAAAGGAGCTCTGGAAGTGTAGTGGTTACGAGTCAGGCTGCTAATCAGTTTCAAACTGCCAGAGGTTCCGCTGGAGAAAGATGAGGTTTTCTGCTCCCGTAAATGTTTACAGCCTCGGAAACCCTGTACAGAGTTGCTGAGTCGGAACTGAATCCACGGCACATAATCACCACCACCAATATGTATAGAAATTGTTCAGTGAGAATCTAATTTGCTATGTAAACGTTCTCCAAAATCGCAGAAAAACATATACATATATAAAATACATACGTTATATATATATAACAATTTCTATACATATTGGTGGTGATATGGAGTACTGGTGTGGCGCTGTGGGCTAATGCGCCAGACTACAACGTCGTTTAAACTGTAAGGTCAGTGGTTCAAGTTCACCAGCTGCTCCTTGGAAACCCTACACAGGGTCGCTATAGGTCAGAATCGACTCGACGGCACTTAACAACAACCAAATATATTTATGTATGTTTGTGTGTGTATTTTAAAACCATATTAAGACCTGAAAAAGAAAAAAAAAAAAAAACAGTGAAAAAAATATAAAGGAAAGAGGAAAAAGTAAAGCATTAAGGTGCGCGGCCTGGGAGTAGCCGGGGGTGTGGGCGGAGTCTAGAATGGGAAACGGGAGGGGTCTATGGGCGCTGGGCGGGGCCTGGTAGATCCCGAGCCTCTGGGCCGACGCGCTGGTTCCGTCAGGAAGCTGCTGTCATGGTGGCCCCCGTGGTGTATCTCGTAGCGGCAGCGCTGCTTGTCGGCCTTATCCTCTTCCTAACTCGCAGCCGACGCTGGGCAGCAGCAGGTAGGAGATACCGCCGCGCCAGGCCCGGTGAGGCCCGGTGGGGCCCGGTTCTCCGGCTTTTCCAATCTTTCCTAGACCATCGCGCGGCGACCCCTGCGCATGCGCACCACGTGCTTTGCGGGCGGTAGGAGTCTTTTCGCGTTGACTAGGATGTTGGGGTTGGACTGCGGTAGGGCGGGCGTGAGACTGGCCTTACGCATGCGCATATGACTCGTAAAGGCGGACTGGTAGGGAACCGCAGGGCTAGAATCCAACCCAGGAAAGGAAACGGCCTTGCCCGGTTCTCCCAGCCCAAAATCAGAGCCTCGTCCCATCCACCTCTCTGTTTTGCAATCCAGATCTCCACCCAGAGTGGCCACGCCCTGGCAGACAGACACCCCCACCCATCCCTCATTCCTAAGGGGGTGTTCGCCTCAACACTCACTGGAGGCCACACGGAGCCCTATTCCTCCTAAACCTGCTGGAGCTGGAGCAGGAGGGAGCACCTGAGTGTTTTCTGCCCACCCACAGGCTGGAGGGAGCTTCAGGAAACTCCCTAAAGCACTCTTTGTCCCCAAGGAAAGCACCCATGCTGTCTTGATCCTTTCTTCTCCCTTTTCTGCACCACACTGTTGCAAACACCCTGGCTGGAAGACTTGTCACTGGCCAGGACACAGAGCACATATACCTGTCATCCCCCTACTTTTCCATTCCTTGTTCAGCATATGGATTTGTGTATGTGTCTCTCCCCCTCTCTGTGGTCACAAGGAGACAAGTCTCTCTGGGAGGGAGACTCAGCGCCTGTCAACAAGTAGACTCTGGTTGGTTTGTTAGATGAAACCAAGGTACACAAAGGGTGCAATGCAAGATAGCTTTGCAAAAAAAAAAAGATAGCATTGCAGTAATGCAGTGGCAAGGGGCCCTGGTGGTGCTGTGAGTTAAGCATTGGGCTGCCAACTGAAAGGTTGGCAAATTGAATCCACCAGCTGTTCCACGGGCAGAAGAGGAGGCTTTCATTTCCCATAAAAATTTAAAGCCTCAGAAATCCTCTGGAAACAGGGCCTCTTTGAATTGGAATGGCCCAGATGGTAGTAGTTTTGGTGTTTTGTTTTGTTTTGTTTTGTTTAATGCAGTGGGTATTTGGGTGGGATCTCTTGAGGCCAGGTGGGCTTTCTGGAGAAAGTGTGGCATTGGTTCCCTTTTGCTGTCAGGGAGAATACTGACAGGCCAGCCAGAAAGGTGGGTCTTGAGAGTACCAACATAGCTAGAGAGGAAGGGGTAAGTTTGCTGCATAGGGCCAAGGTGTGGGCTTCAGCTATCAGGGCCTCCATGGTCAAATTGAAAAGTTGGGGCTTTATTTTGTAGACAGCTGGAGGCTGGGAGGAGGTGGAGCAAAGAAAGCCTAGCCTTTCAGAAGGGCCATGTTCCTGTGCAGAGTCATGGTTCCTCTGCTCCCTACAGCCAGCCAAGAGCCACAACACCATGAAGAAGAGTCAGCTGTACTAGGCCAGGAGGCTCAGCGGGGGCGCCTGGAGTCTGCGGAACAGAGAGCTGTTAGGCCCAGACGCAGGAGGGACCTGGGCAGCCGCCTGATAGCCCAGCGTCGAGCTCAGAGGGAGACCCAGGCAGAGGTGGATGAGAATGAAGAGGAAGGAGTCATCCCAGGTGAGAGGGGCCCAGTCTGGTGAGGAAGAGAGCTGGGATAGGAGATGGGAGGTGGGGAGACTCAGACCTGGGTGGGTACAGTAGAGTGTGAAGCCACAGTGTGGGAGGGATGGCAAGGAACCACACAATGGAGAGGTACCTGGGGCCTGGCCTTTGTTCCTAGAAGCCAGCAATTCTGGACCTGAGCACCAGTTCATTGGGCCAGCCCCCTCTTCCTTCATCTTGGCTCTTGGTGTCTAAGCAAGTGGGCAAGGGTCTTCAGATTCGAGTCCACACTTTCTATGCCAGCATCCTTCCTGGTGTGGGCATACTCATTCCCTGAGGGCCTCACCCTAGGAACAGAGAGCCTGACCAGGAGCTTCTGCAGGTAACTTAAGAAGAGAGGTTTAGGAATAGAGACAACCTGTTTGTTAATTCAGAGACTTCCATTTTCCTTGTGCTGGGAGAACACCAGAACCTTTAGGATTTGAGAAAGAATGCCCCTTCTCCAAGTACTTGATGGCTGGCTTGAGCCTGAGAAGGAGACAACTGGCCCTTCTGTGAAACTGGGTGCATTTGGAGTTTTTGCCCTCGTACCCTTGGGGATTAGCCCCTTTGGCTCATAAAAGTGGCTCTCTGTTATTTCCCCTTTAGCTTCCAACGTGGGGCCAGATGTCTTGCTGCTCAGGTGTCTCTTGGTCTTAATATTTCCACTTGTCCAGGTCAGAGCTGTTCTTTTGGCCTGTTGCTGCTTGCAGGAAAGGATTAATCCTGGCCAGGGGCTAGGCACAGAACCCTCAGCAGCTCCTGACTACAATGAAGAGGATTCAGATTTGGCTGAGATACATTTCCCAGGGGCCCATCCTTGCTTGGAAAAACTTAAGAGACCTCTGCAAACCCAGATACCCTGTCTGTGATCTCTAAGACATTGTAGCCTGGGATCTCCCTATTCATGATTCTATAGCATCTAAAGTTCTCATCTGTTCCTTTTCCCTGTAACCCCTGGGCCCATTTCTACCCCTGACACACACACATATATACATTCAAAGTGCAAATTTCTGCATTCGTGGCACCTACTTCTGGATGGCAGAACTAGGTATCTGATACTCACATATGTGTGAAGGACATTGCCTTATGAAGGAAACAGCTGTTGGTGTCCTTTGACCAGAGCTTGAAGTGTTGTTTTTTTTTTTTCTTTTCTTTTTTTGACCCTATTCAGCTCAGGAGGAAGAGGGTGTTGAGAAACCCATGGAAACTCACCTTTCAGGGAAAATTGGAGCCAAGAAACTACGGAAGCTGGAGGAGAAACAGGCGCGAAAAGCCCAGCGCGAGGCAAGTAGGAAGGATGAGGGTGGTGCAGCTCTGGGAATAGGAAAGTCCACTGCAGCAGAACCATCCCTTGAGGATCCTTGCACCTGGGATCAATTTCCCCAAGGGGCCATACTTCTTGAGCTTGCCTGGCTCTGTCTCTGGCCTGGCCCAGGTATTGATTTCCCCAACCTCTGAGAGGTGGGCAAGCTCTAGCTGGGGTAGTGAATGTGTTCCCTATATATGTGAAGGCCTCTCCTTGGGGTGGCACAAATGGTTAACATACAAAGCTAACAAAAAAGATTAGGGATTTGAGTTCACTCAGAGGCACTTTGGAAGAAAGACCTGACAATTTACTTCTGGAAAATCAGCCACCGAAAACCTTATGGAGCACAGTTCTACTGTGACACACAAGAGATGGCTTAGATTCAGGCTTGACTTAACTGCACTGAGATTTTTTTCTCTAGGCAGAGGAGGTGGAGCGTGAGGAGCGGAAGCGCCTGGAGGCCCAGCGTGAGGCTGAGTCCAAGAAAGAAGAGGAGCGGCTGCGCCTAGAGGAGGAGCAGAAGGTGACCCTGGCAGCCTGGCCTCTCATATAATCCTCCTCCCCTCCCCCAGAGAAAATGGGCCACAGGTCCTGTTTTATTGAGTCCCTGAGCTCTGGATGCAGCCTATGTAAAGCTGGCTGTCTTGGGTCAGGTTTCTGAGAAGCAGAGCCTGGAACTGGGATTCTTGTGCCTGTGTTTTATTGCACGTGCATGGATTGAAGGGCAGTGAAGTGGTCCGAGTGGTTGAAGCAGAGTAAGCAAGGAGCAGAGGGCCAGCTAGGTAAGGTAGGTCTCGATCCTGAGGGCCTTGAGGCTGCCGAGGCCACTGTAAGAGGTGATGGTTGCTGTCTGTGCCGTGTCCAATTCAGGTCCTGGCACAGAAAAGATGCTCAGGAGTTGGCTGCAGTGAAGGCAGTTTAGGAGTGTTTGTTTGCCAAGTGCTTCCTCTGGTCGCCAAACCAGATGTTCAAGAAAGAGAACTTCACAAAGATGTGGGATGTATAGAATGAGAGCCAGGGCTAGGAAGACCACAACTAGGAAGACCACAACTAGGAAGACCCCAAAATCTGGTACCTAGGACTCCAGATTAACCCTGTGTGCTGTAGCAAATGGACCAGAGCACAGTAGAGGGCAGCATTAACACCGAGGACTTTCACCTTTTCTGCATATTGATCCTGTTTTATGCACCTTCAGTATCCATCCTGGAGCTGTTTCCCTCCATCCCCAAGTTTTCCCTGCTAGTAACATCATAGATTAATAACAACTATCAGCAGTAACTGGAGTCCTGGTGTGGGGCTGTGAGTTAACGCCCTGGACTTTAAAATTGGTTTGAACTACAAGGTCTGTGGTTCAAGCTCACCAACTGCTCCTCAGAAACCCTGTACAGGGTCACTATGAGTCGGAACCAACTCAGTGGCACTTAACAACAACAACAACAGTATCAGCAGTAACTAATGAATTCACTTAACACCATACTTTCTTCAGATTTTATTATTTTTTCCCCAAAGCCCATTTTCTTTCCAGGTCCCATCCAGGATATATATAGATTTATTACTTGCCTTGTTTTTTGATGACCTTGATGATTTTGAGGATTGTTGGTCAAGTACTTTGTATGCGCCTCAATTTAAGTGTGACTGATGTTCTCACGGCTAGAGTGGGGTTTGGGATTTCTGGGGAGGAAGCCCATAGAGTTGGAATGCTCTTCACAACACAACCTATCAAAGGTACCTGCTATCAACTCACTTTGTCACTAATGATATTAACCTTGACACCTGGCTGAGGTGGTGTTTGCGAGGCTTCTCCACTGCCAACTTACTCTTTTTCTCCCTTTCCAGACTGTGGAGGAGCTCTAGTAGCATAGTGAGTTACATACTGGGCTGCTACCTAAAAGGCCAGCAGTTTGAATGAACCATCTTTCTCAAGGGAGAAAAATGAAGATGTCTGCTCCCATAAATATTGATAGCCTTGGAAATCCTGACGGAGTAATTTTATGCTTTGTCCTATAGGGTCACTGTGAGTCAGAATGGACTCAGTGGCTATGGGTTTGATTCCATACTATACTCTTTGAAAACAGGTTTCTAAGCATAGCCCACTAAGGGTCAGGGGATTATGTTCCACCTTCTTGAGGAAAGAGTATCCATATAAATTATTTGGAAATCTTCAGTACAGGAAATTTGTCTCTTCACCCTCATTTATGTATTTATTTATGTCAGAATGATTTATGCCTGTTGTGTATTTTTGGTTGTATCTAACAGCGCGTTGTTTATTTTGTTTTGCAAATTATTCCAGCTTTGGCGTTAAGGGCTCTTCAGTTGATGCTTGTGCCCCTTTGACACCTCCCCATTGTTGTGGGGTTGTTGTTGTTGTTGTTGTTGTCAGGTGCCATCGAGTCGGAACCGACTCATAGCGACCCCATGCACAGCAGAATGAAACAATGTCTGATCCTGGGCCAACCTTTCTACCGCGGCCACACTTGAGTCCATCAATGATGCCACCTGGCCAATCCATCTCGTTGGGGGTCTTCCTCTTTTTCTCCGACCCTCCATCTTACCAACCATGATATCCTTCTCCAGTGACTGTTCCCTCCTGACAATATATACAAAGTATGAGACGAAGTTTAGCCATCTTGGCCTCCAAGAAGCACTCTGGCTGCACTTCTTCCAAAATAGATCTATTGGTTCTTTTGGCAGCCCATGGCACTTTCAGTATTCTCCTCCAACACCATAATTCAAAGTCATCAATTCTTCTATGATCTTCCTTATTCACTGTCCAGCTTTCGCATCCATATGAGGTTTTTTTAGTACTTCCTTATTTTCTGGTGCTACAGCTTGCTCTGGCTTCATTGCAGATTCCCTGGCCATCTTTGGCTTTACAATGAGCTATTCTGAGAAGCCTTTCTAGAGGCTGAGGGGAGATAGTGGCAATAGGTGGTAGTGGTGGTGGAGTGAAGTAGTTGGAACGAGAAGCTATCAGGATGTTAAAGAGGTAAAGGAAGGTGAGACTTTGTTTTTGATAGAGCAGATGACTGAATGAGTCTGTGATTTACCAAGTAAGGGACCAATTGTCTGGGGAGTGGGTCACAGGGTCTGTTTGTGTTGTTATTGTGGTGACATGCCATCGAGTTGGTTCTGACCCATAGCAACTCTGTATTGGGTTTCCAGGGAGCAACTGGTGAGTTTGAACTGCCAACCTTACGGTTCAAAGTGACCTTGCAGTCCGTTGCATTAACCCACAACACCAATACTAAATTTGAGGTGCCCATGAGACATCCAAGTGTGTGTCTTGTCCAATAGAGCCGGCTTGCTACATAACTGTCATATGGGCATATGTCATATGTCCTAACTGTGGCAGTTACTGGCAAGAATATGGTTATTGATGTTGTAGATTTGGGCAGGGTGTTGGGAAAGAGCAGAGGAGAGAAGGACGTGGGCTGAGTAATACAGGAGGTGGGAAAGAAGCAGGAGAAAATCTGGGAGACGCTGGGAGCCTGGAAGCCAAGGCAGGAAAGTGGGATGGCCACTGTGCCCAACATCTCTGAGAGGACAGGGCTACAAGGCCTAGAGAGTGTCCCTTGTATTTGATGAGAAGGAAGGCACTGGTGAGACCATCCCAGGAGTTGTTTTAGTGGAATGGGTGAATGTCAGATTGGAGTGGGCTAGAAGGGTGAACGGTGGTGAGGAAATGTGCGGGCATGATAGGGTAGAGAGAGAACATTTTCAGACCATGTTGTTACTGTTGTGAAGTGCCGTCAAGTCTGTTCCAACCCGTAGCAACCCTGATAACGGTTTCTGAGGAGCAGCTAGTGAGCTTGAACTGCTCACCTTGCAGTTCATAGGTCTCACATATTTATTAGTCAGTCTCTTAATGCAGAAGCATAACAACAAAAGAAAAAAAAAGAACAAAGGAAGAAACCCGAAGGTTCCTAATACATGTTTAGTTGTTCAGATCATGACAAAAATCTTAAACTTGATTATTAGGATGTTAGGAGCTCTGGTAGCGTAGTGGTTACGAATCGGGCTGCAAACCTTAAGGTCAGTGGTTTGAAACTACCAGCTGCTCCGCGGGAGAAAGATGAGGCTTTCTACTCCCGTAAGGATTTACACCCTCGGAAACCCTGTACAGGGTCGCTATGGGTCGGGACCGACTCGAAGGCACTTCACAACAACAACAGTGAACCCCCAGGTAGACATGTGTGCTGTCATATGTGCAACTCCTTATCCACCCAGCTTGGCTCTTCTCCAGTGTCTATACTTTTGGAGCTGTATCTGATTTCATTACCTGTTATCAATCAAATCCATTGGAGAACGAGGTGATTCTGCTTTTGAGAAGATGTAGTAAGGATAGAAGCTAGCCCACTCACCATAATGATGTTTGAAAGGGAGAGAGCTTTTTACTAAATAGACCTGGGCCAGAAGTTTAAGGGATGGTGATGGAGCAGTGTTTGGGAGGTGGTGGAGCTGATGGGAAGAGGGGCCACTGCCTGATGGTCAGCTTTGAGGGCATTGGGTCAGGGTCTTGAATACACTTTGACCCTGAGAAAGGGCTAGGCTGTATCCTCTGGGCCCTATAGGACAGGAGGAACTACAACAGGGATGGGGAGGGCATCCTGCTCGAAATACCTGACTTTTGCCTTCTCTGTGTTTGCAGGAAGAGGAGGAGCGGAAGGCCCGGGAGGAGCAGGCCCAGCGGGAACATGAGGAATACCTGAAACTGAAGGAGGCCTTTGTGGTGGAGGAGGAGGGTGTGGGTGAGACCATGACTGACGAACAGGTAAGCACCCACTCCTGAATTCAGACCAAGACTGGCCATCCCATATGCCCAAGTTGGACAGTGAGAGGTGGGTGATGAGCCGGCTCTGTTGGACTAAGGCCTTGTCCTTAGCGTGGGCTCCCCTGCACATGCAGGCAGGTTGTAGGTGGCACCCCAGGTGGTTAGGTGGGCAGGTAGGTGGCAGTCAGCTGGGTAGGTGGTGCCCACAGTTGGGGAAGGAGGCACAGTGCCTGCCGTCCTCTGCAAGGGAGACACTGGCCCTGATTTCTCTGCTCTTTAGTCCCACAGCTTCCTGTCAGAGTTCATCAATTACATTAAGGTAAGAAGCCACAGAGCTGAATTCCGGCACTGGCTCCCTGCCCTCACGTGTGTGTTGCAGGCCTTCTCAAGGCCCAGAGAGAGAGGACTTGAGTGGAGGCTGCAGATGTTCAGTCAGGCTTGTGCAGGAGCGGGCAAGGCAACCAAAGAGGCTGAGCTGTCAGGGTCCTGGCCAAGAGAGCCCCTTCTTTTCTGACCCTGCAGGTGGAGAAGGGCTGGTCCGTGTGGGTGGCATGTGCTTTTGCTCGTTTCCCCCGCTCTGCGTTTGACTGCTCCCCTGTTCTTCAGACCCTGCGCTCAGTGACTCACTGTGTTTTTGAGCTTTTTCACATGTATTTCCGTCAGTTCTGTCAGAATGAAGCACCACAAGGCGAAACCAGTGTCCCCTGTCACGTGGCCCTGACCAGGATCTTGGGTCTTCCAGAGGAAACAGGATGGTGTTTCCTTTGGAACTAGGGTGGGGTGGCAGGTGTGTCCCCTTCTGCCCATAGCCTCAGCGCAGGCGGCCCGGATGTTGCTCCAGGTTGCATAAGCACGTCCTGCTCTGCTTTGCTGCTAAGCAACTTCTCCTCTCCCACGAAGGATGCGTTGAGGGGAGAGGTTTTCAAGTGCAGCTCAGAGGTGCAGAGGCGGCTGAGGGAAGGAGTGCAGAGGGAGCGGAGGCGAGGGTGGGGGTGGTGCTAGGGGCTGCCAAGGTGCCAGGCTTGCATAATCCTCCCCCCAGCCCAAAAGAGAGTAGGGCTTAGCTTCCTCCCAGCATAGTGGGGCTAGACTCACAGCCCATGGTCCAGGAGAGGACAAACACTGGCAGCTTTCAGATGGTCCCCCCCACTTACAGAGACTATTTCCCTCAACACACTCAATTGGGAACTGTAGTCCTTAGCAGGATACTAGTCATAATTTTCTGCTGCTTTCTGAAACTCACAGTCCCCACCTACCCACAGTGAGCAGCAGCATGGTTCTGAAGTCCCTCCTCCAGGAAGCCTTCCCAGGCAGGTTTAGAGGAGAAGGTCCACTTCAGCATCCCCACTCCTACAGATTGGGGTAAAGCTCAGGCACAATCAGCGAGTCTAGGAAAGGCACTTGAGGCGGTTCTAACCCTCTCTTTTGGTAACTCCCTAGAGCTGGCCATTCTCTGGGGTTCTCGTGGCCTATGCTGACTGCTGCTTATGGAGTTGCTGCTCTTCCGCCTTCCTCCTGGCTCTGAGGATTTCAAAACTGGAGAGACATTTCTGAACCCAGCAGAGTGTGCATGAGGGTGGGGGGAATTCCACCTTCCAGTCAGACACCTTTGGCTCTAGCAGCACCTTGGCGAGGTCTTCAGGGCCATGTGAGGTCCTGGACTCCCAAGTTCCAGATCTCAGCTGTCACTGAGAGCCAGTGCCAATCCCTGCTTTGTCAGGAGAGGCCAGCTGGCCAGGGCATCTTAGGCCCAACTGCCATTCGCTCGCTTCCCTGCTTGCACAGACGGGTTGGCATTTGAAACAGTCACATGCCATCTGCAGCCGGGGAGGTGTCACCATGTCACTTTCCCCAGCTCATTTGCTGGAAGGTACATGGAAACGCCAAAGATCTCCTGCTCTTGAATCACATGCTGCTGTCTGGGGCGTGGGCGCGAGGGGTAAGGATGTGTAGGACCCAGCAGTGAACCCTTGGCTGCACCTCCGGGGCTGGGGACTGGAGGGTCTCCTGAGGGCATGAGGAAAACACCTGGAATGTGGCTATGCCTGGAAAGCATGCAGCAACATTGGTGGTGTTACTTTAAGGGTGGGCTTGGTGCCTCTGACAGTGTGAAAAGAATGGGAGAAAAGAAGTGTGGGTGTGTCAGAGTTGTGGGAAGCTTCAGGCCAGGGTGGGAATGAGCAATGGCAAGGCAGGAATAAGCACCCACTGCCTCTCCCGAGAGATTCTAGCTTCCTTGTCTGCAGACTCTCCTGTCCCATCAGCCAGGCTCATCTTAGGCTGAGTGAGCTGTGTGATTTTCTCTGTCATACACCTTCTCCCCGCCTGCCACTCCTCAGGGCTTGTCCTGGCAGATCTCAGGAAATGCAAGTCCATGGTGATAGCTTTTAAAAATAATTCTTGGTGAATGTCACCTCCTTCCCTTTCTCTCCAGGCTGCTTCCCCTTCCAACTTGTCCCTGATGTTACAAACATAGGGCTAGATAGAGAGGCAAGTTGGCAGTTGTGCTCTGCTTACCATTTGTGTCTGTCTCAGAGTGGTCCTCAGAGCAGGCCAAGGCCTGGGGGGCACATCGTGGTTTGGGGCAGATCGCTCTTGGCAAACGAGGTCATGAGAACGTAAGAGAGTGTGTCTGTGTCTGTGTCTGTGTCTGTGTCTGTGTCTGAGTGTGAGAGCATGAGTTGGGAAATGGGGTGCTCTCGCAGGAATGCACTAAGTATGCCATAGCACCCAGACCAGATCAGAGTGGAATGCAAACTGTAGTGGGTGCCAGTGCCCACAGGGATTGGCCCAAACTCACCTCGCTCCCTTGTTCGCCCTCTCCTTGCAGCAGTCCAAGGTGGTGCTCTTGGAAGACCTGGCTTCCCAGGTGGGCCTGCGGACTCAGGTAAGCCAGGGAAGGTAGCCCGCTGTGGGGAGTGTGGCCACAGGGTCTGTGTGACTGGTAGAGGGCATGTGTCATAAAAGTGGGGAGTATTCTTGCCCCCTCTACCCTGCTGTCAACCAAGAATGAATAGTGTAGGAATCCTGCCTTTCTGCTATTAGATGGAAAAACAGGCAAGGAATCCAAACTCTGTCACTCCCCACCATTCTCTGTAACCAAAGTTGCCCAAGCCAAGTTATCTTGACAACTCTCTTGTAAACAGGCTGAACCCGGCTTTATGGCCTAATATCACTGTTGTCCTCTTGGCTAGAAGAGAGCCTATCTGGGAGTCTTGCAGAGTCCCTAGACTAGAGCTGCTTTCTCCCAGGACTCCTCTAAAGAAGCAGCAGCGTCCCATCAGGGTGTGGTGTGAGGCGGAGCTCCTGCTATGGTGGGAGGAAGGTTGCAGGTGCTGTGCTGGGGACAGTGGCCCCTGTCCATGCTCTGAAAACTGCTCTCCTCATAGGACACAATTAACCGCCTCCAGGAGCTACTAGCTGAGGGGACTCTGACAGGTGAGAGAATGAGAAGCTACTGCTCCAGGGACCGCAGGGGGCTGCAAAAACATGTTGCTGAGGGATTCCTGGTTTGGGGGAGGTGGGAGAGCAGTGGGACACAGTTAAAAGGAGAACATACCAAACCTTAGGGATGACTGCTGGGTGACAAGGGCAGGTGAGGAAGCCTGGCGTTCGGTTCGCTTGATAAGGATTGGGTGCAGCTAAGAAAGGCCAGGTGGACTGGGGACCTGGAGGGCTGATTCTATAGTGAAGTGATGGACAGGCAGGCTGGGCCCAGAAGATCTGAGCCTGCAACCCATATGTCCCCACAGGTGTAATTGACGACCGGGGCAAGTTCATCTACATAACACCGGAGGAACTGGCTGACGTGGCTAACTTCATCCGACAGCGGGGCCGAGTGTCCATCACGGAGCTTGCCCAGGCCAGCAACTCCCTCATCGCCTGGGGCCAGGAGCCTCCTGCCCAGGCCCCAGCCTGACCCTCTTGGACTCTGAGCGGACTTGGTCTACCTGTCCAGGCATCCTCCTCCCCCTCTACCATGCGGGGCCTTGGTGGTACATGACTAGGCAGTTACAGATTAAAGGCCCATGAGCACTGCTGAGCTTGCTGTGACGTGGTGTGGGAGGCCTGTCTGGGGTCTCAGAGAAGCAGGTATAATCTAGGCCTCTAGATATATCCAAGAGAAAGTGAGGATCTCTTGGAGGCAGGTGGGATTCCCCATTTTTATCATGTGGTCATGCGTGTGTTTCTTTGTCCCCAAGGCCTAGACAGAGTTTGTCTCTCCCCTCTAATCCCAGAGCAAAAATAGGGAAATCTCTTGGTCCATTTCCCCAAATGTGAGGGAGGAGTCACTTTTAAAATACAGATTTTGGAGTCTTGAGCAGGGATGAGAGTCCCTAGGGAGAGGAGCTCATGGGAAATGCCAAGGACAGAGACCTAAGAGGCATCAGCCTGTAAGAGGGAGGAAGCAGAGGCAGTGGAGGAGAGGGTCTGGGCCAGCTGCTTGCTGGGCAGGTAGAAGGAAGAGGAAGGCCTGCCTGAGTTGGCCATGATTGTGCAGTAGAAAGACATTGCTCACACAACAAATTACATGAATTCAGTTCTCCCCCTTGACAAAAAAAAAAAAAAGTTGAAGCAGTGTGGGTGGTCCCACCTACAGTTGGATTTAAGGATGTAAGGACCATATGCTTGGGCGTGGGTGTTAGCCAGGAGATGTGTCTCCTGGAGGGTCAGTCACTTGTGCTTGTGGGCTGTTCGTGGCATGAGCATCCTGCTGTGCTTAGGGTGAGGCCTGTGCTCAAAATGTGTATTTTTTATGTAAGGTGGCCCCCTGAACACAACCACCTACTGTCTTCTGGTGCATGGGGGAGGAGGCAGCTTTCTGTTCTGGCCCAGAAGGAAACTGTCTACATGGAGCGATGTGGAGACGACGCAGCAGGCTCCAGGATGGTACCTTCCGGAGGGGTTGTCAAGAGTGATTTTGACTCATTTGAGGCTGTAAGTATTGGCAGTAGAAGCTACATTCCAAGCACTATGTGACTCTGCTACTTCTGTTGACTCTGGGCACTTGGCATCGCTGAGCTGTGTAGAGCCACACACATGGTATGGAAGATTGTCTAGGAGCCCACCGTGACATGGATAACCACAGTCTGATGTGGTTGTTGTTATGTTGTTAAGTGCTGTTGAGTTGGTTCTGACTCATTGTAACCATGTATAGGATTTCCGAGGAGCATCTGGTGGACTTGAACCAACAACCTTGGGGTTAGCGGTCCAGCACTTCCATCCTACAGCACCATACCAGGACTTCACAGTGTAAGGTAGACATATAAATTCTAAAGGGAAGAGGTGACTTCAGTTCTGTTAATGGTTCTCAGCCTTGGTTGTTTATTAGGATCAGCTGGGGAGTTCTCCATAGTTCCCATGTCAGACTTCACAAGCCAGACCAACAACTTCAGAATCTCAGTGGGATGGGATTGAGGAATCAGTCAGTGATTCCATTGGTAGCCAAGGTCAAGAGCCAGAATGGAAGTGGGGATAGGATGGGAAGACAGCTGATATTAAGTTCCATGTAATGAAAACTCTCACTGCGAGGGGCTACTTACCAAGTTAAAGAGCACCTCCAAGGTCTCTTTCATCCATTCACTTAGCCTCCTTCAGTCATAGCCCTCGGGCAGCAAGATGGCTGTGGCAGCCCCAGCCCCAGTTTCACCCTCTTCAAGACAGTTACCAAAGTCCAGAAGGGATAAGGCACATCCCTTCCTTGCATCCCAGAAGCCTCCTAAGATCCCTTATTTCCTAGGAGCACAAGGTGGAGGGAAAAAACCTCCAGCCCTTTGTGCATTCATTATTTAGTGGTTGATCTATTTATCTTTCAATAGATTTATCTTTAATAAACTTATCAAGTGAATAGTTCTTCAACAATAAATAATACCTTTCTAAATATATGCAAATGCTTTCATAATTAACATGAAAACTTACAGGTTTAACCACTACATTTTTCTAATCATTTAAATATTGTCAACTTAACATATTTCTAAGTATTTAATTGCACCCCCCCAAGTTTATTAGAGGAAATTAAATGCTCTAAAGGAGCTCTGGTAGCATAGTGGTTACGAATCGGGCTGCGAACCTTAAGGTCAGCGGTTCGAAACTACCAGCCGCTCCGCGGGAGAAAGATGAGGCTTTCTACTCCCGTAAAGATTTACACCCTCGGAAACCCTGTACAGGGTCGCTATGGGTCGGACCCGACTCGATGACACTTAACAACAACTAACAGGGTCGCTATGGGTCGGACCCGACTCGATGACACTTAACAACAACTAACAGGGTCGCTATGGGTCGGACCCGACTCGATGACACTTAACAACAACAACAACAACATTTTAAAGCATGTAACCATTATAATTGGTGTTGTTGTTGTTAAGTGCCGTCGAGTCAGTTCAGACCCATAGCGACCCTGTATAGGGTTTCCAAAGAGTGGCTGGTGAACTTAAACCACCGACCTTGTAGTTCCAACTGACTTTGCAGTCCAGTGCATTAATCCACAGCGCCATGGTATTTTAATGGTTACATACTGACTTGTACATGTAACATTAGAATAGATTATAAGCCTAAATACTGTGAACTAACATTTATTTATTTACTAGCCCTATTTTAATTTCGATTCCTTCCTGAAGGCAGTTTTCACTTAACCCGGAGCAACATGGTTACTGTCTCAGTTGGCTGAGAACATACATAATGACTGATGAATGATGATTCCGAACCAAAAACTTGGGTTTCCTTTTGAGTCTGCCTGAATCCTCTACCTGTTAGGAAGCCCCTTTTCAGAGTTAGATTTTCCTTTACATCAGGAACTTTTTTTTTTTTTTTTAATGTTTTATTGTGAGTTATATGATAGTTTACATGGGAGAACATTGGTTTTACATTCATTCTATCATATATCGTTTCATTGCCATGGTTATAATCCCCTCCATGCATCATCAACCAACCAAAGGGTTACATCAGGAACTTTTGACTGTGGGCTCCAACCAATCATCTAAATTTTGTTTTGTGTAACCCCCAAATGGTGCTTGTTTTGGGTGCCTTACCTTCACAATCCAGCCCAACTGAGATCTGTTTTGATTCTGCTTTCTCCAGTTAAGAGTACAGTCTAGTTCAGTTTCATTCAATCACAATTTCTCTTATTTTATGAGCCATCAAGACCTGTGTTATTAACAAACTGTGGTTGGAGAGCTGTATAATACAACTTATCATTCCAAATACATTGTTCATAAATTTGGCCTCGGGTTGAAGATTACTGAAATTGGGTAATAAGTACATGGAAGTTATATTCGTCTATTTTTTTAAATATATATCTAAATTCCCCACAACGAAAACAATAAACATGGAGCCTCAGGTAACCGCATGTAACCTTGGCTCATGTATGAAGCCACCTAGTCATTCATTGACTCAGCAAGTGAGTGACTTACAGGCTACTACAATGGCACTGGTACAAGCTGCATGTGTTGGGGTCTGTAGAACAAAAATTATTAAAATGCAAGTGTTTTAAAAAGAATATTTTAACTTAATTTGTGGAGAGCCTGCTGAGTACAAGTCATGATGCTAAGCAAAACATGGCCCCACCCATAAGTGGCAGGGGTGGTGGTGGACCACTCACCCAGCAAATAAGAAGACCTCCAGGCTAAGAGGCAGAAAAGTTCACTGAGGAAAGCATGGGATGCTGGATGGAGGTACGGGAAAGATCAAGGAGAAGAAAGAGACCAGGGAGGGAAGGGAAACAGGTCAGAGTAGGAAGGGCGGCGAATGCCAAACCCAGAGATTGTGGCTTTGCTTGGTGACCCAGGCTGAGGATTGGGTAGAATGTGTTTTGAATCAGTAACTAATTTCTTAAACTTTTTTTTGCAGTTATTGTATCCCACAAATTATCTCTACTTCATCCCAGCCTCCTTCCAGCCCCCATTCTGTGCTCAAGGGTACCACCTCAAACCTTCCTGAGCACATGCCTCAGACACCCCTAGTTTCTTCCCAGCCCCAAGACTGGGTGCCAACTATTCCACTATGGCCATGCTTTTCAAACTTTTTTGATACCATCACTTAGTATGAAACCCATTTTACATTAAGAACTCAGTATGTGTATGTGGGGGCATCAAAAAGATTGTGGAAGAATGGAATTTAAGCAGAATGGATTTTTTCCATTAACTTATTGAAGCCTCCTCAACCTCCACCACCACCATCTGTGTATTATTCATACAAATAGGTAACCAAAGTAAAATTTTCACAAAACACTTCATGTATCTGTTTTGTTGCTGATAGTGACTAAATTTATTTTCTAGCTGCAAAATCCATGGGGTGCTATATATGACTTCTTCTGGCTTTAAAAGGGGAATCAAATGCAAAACTAACCCAAGACAGAGGACTATGATATGAAGGTCAGGCATGCCTCCACTCTACAACCTTCTTTACCCTGTTCTGACATCAACCATCCCTCCCACAGCACTCTGCTTCACATCTGGGTTCAATAATCCATTGTATTGGCCACACAGAACTTTGTTACAATACTCATGATAAGGGATTTACTAAGGAACAAGGTACAATTCAGGATCAAAAACAACTCAGGATGCAAGTTCTCCCATCAGGAACCCCTTTCTCTGCCTTATTTTAGGTAAGCCTCACTGGGGCTTCTCAGCCTTGTGGTCCCTCTGCCTCTTCCCTGCTCAGGCAAGTGTTAAAACCTCCTTTAGCAAACCTGTGAATGCCCAAAGGACACATTCTGCAAGCCAACCTCCTGCCCTTAGGCACTAAGCTTTGCTGGATCCATGGGACCTAGAAACTCCCAGCTGCTCTGTCTCTCCATGCAGCTGCCTCTGCTTTTGCTGCCTTTCTAGTTAGGGATCTCAAGCTCCACTCATTGCTCTTCTGTATTGATGGTATTTTGACTAGGTTCAGCCTGACACCATGAACAATTTTTGATTGGTTGAT